ATGCCAACGGTAACAAAATCTATCATTTAATTAATACGTAGAGCAAGTGTATCATAGGAAAATTAGTTGCATAATTGATAAATATCTTTGATCATATGTTCAAAAATCCTTGTTTTAATTGTGTATGTAAAGACATTTCATTTGTTGAGATATAAGATATATATTTTCATTAAATAAAATCAACTTAACTATTAAATTAATAAAATTTAATATTTACAATAAACTTATCAATAGGATAACAAATATCTTAAAAGTCATGTGATCTTAGTCATATTTTTTTATATTTTTTCATTATTAAAGAATATTTTCTATCAAATTCAGATACTATATATCTTACTCAGGTGTTTGACAAATATTAAGTAGGTGTGTCAATGTCACATTTTTATATATTTTTTTTATTATCAAAAAGTATTCTTTGTTGAACGCGAAGACAATCTTCCTCAGGGATTTGAAAAATATCAAATACGTATGTTACCTCCTAACTTAAGTTTTCTACATTTGTAAGAGTTAGGATTCAATCTCTAACTACTTAGTTGAGTAACATAAGTCTCTTATTACTGACGACAATTCAAGTTGGTACATTTTTATATATTGTGGTTTACTTTATAAATTTATAAGATTTTTTTAGATAAACTTTTTCATAAATATTTTAGATGAGAAAATAATATGAAAAAAGGTGAAATGAGTTTTTTTTTTATAACTTAAAAATTAGTTTATACATAAGTTAAAAATATACTTTGAAAAAATTAATATGAAAGTGTTTATACAAATTAGTTTATGCATGCATAAGTTAATTTTAACTTAAAAAAATTATTTTATTTTTCTTGTTTTTTTTATATAAAGATACATGAAAAGAATTATCAAAACATACTTGTAACCTCCGTCCTTTCCTTTTTCATTTTTGGGTGCGTACAAATTAAAGTTTGAAAAAATAGGACAAAACAAACTTATAAGTTATAATGGGGCACATATGAAAATAAATAATCACATGACTATTATCACAAAAATAACAATCTTTTTTTGTTACAAAAAATAACAATATATTATATGAACTCACGTTGAGGTGCAAATATCTTAATTTTTTTAAGGTTATGCCAATTTATATTTTTACGTCTGTGTTAATATGGGAAAATATTGTTTTGGGACATGGAAAAATCTAGTGCATCAGGTAATATAGGTAATATATGTGGATATATTAACGAATCATATGGATCCAATAAAATTAAAATAATCATTTGACTGAAATTTGCTTTTAACAAGTTCGAAATATTATTTATGTCGAATAGTATTTGACTTTCTATTTTAATTATGTTTTCTTTTATTGGTGTGTATGACACATTAATTTAATTTTATGAATGATTAGTGTAACACATCAATGATTCATCTATTATTTTTTAAAATTTATTGGATAACAATATGAGATATTTATTAGATTCAGATATTAAACTATTATTTTGACATAAAAAAAAGTTTTATTAATTTTAAAAGACTATAAAAAAAATATAATAATTTATAAAGAAAAGAAAGAGAAATAAAATATTTAAAAAAATAAAAATTATTTAGTTTTCAAAATTTATTTTTATAGATAAATTGAATATCACCAATAAAAAAATTATTAATAAATAGATTGAATTATTTTTTTTCTTAAATGAATTATATGGATTGAATTGTTTTTTTCTAGAACCTCGGACAAGAAGAGAGAGATTATAATAATTACTAGTCGTGCCCATAACTGAATGCATTACGAATATATTTCATGATGGAAGACGTACCATCTTATGTATGGTGTAAAAATTAATATAAATGTTTATCTAATAAAGGTAATGTTAAATATCGTAAGAGGTAATGCAGCTCGACAGATAGATTATGGATGGACAATTGGACGTGCAATTGATTATTCAGGAATCAAGTAAAAAAAGAACACAAAATCTCAAACCATATAAAATAAATATAAGCATATAAGTACATATGGAACATAACCATATAAGCATTTGAAAAAGAAATCTTATATTATAGTATTTGTTCAATATGAAATCAATTATTTGATTTGTACTCCAACTGTATTTAATTTCTCCCATAGTGATAAGGGGATCTATAACTCCGAAGAGGGCTACTTAAACATATTATTGCTCTTGTCTCTTATGATTCATAGGAAAGAATCACCGCTACATCTTTAGTTATATATATTTTTTAATATTTATCTACTTATATTTATTAAAATATTATTATAAACTAAGTTAATAAGTTATTATAACATTTTTTTTCATAAAATATTATTATAGATAAAAAAATAATTTTTTATCTCAATATTAATTTTTTTTAATTATTTCTCAAAATTAACTCTCATATTAAGTAAAATAATAACATATAAAAATGTATTTCTCCGATCTTGAATTATTTATCAAAATTTAAGTCTTCATCAAGTAAAATAAGGACAAATTAATAATTTATATAACTATAGAGTGAAGATTAAGATATGATTTTTGATATCTTCAACCCTAAAAGAATTAGACAAGAGTCATATATAAACTATAGGTGATAATATAATTTATATTAATAATAATTATCATTTTATAAAATTTACAAAAATTTAACAATGTTATTAAAATTAGTAAAGTTGAGGCACTTCATACCTCTATTTATTTTTTGTAAATAAAATAAAATTTCATAGCTATTGTGTATCAACAATGTGAAAGAAGATGAAAATCTTACAATGAGATGAAAAGCAAAAGATGAGAAGAGAGAGAGAAAAAAAAACAATTATATATGAATAATGAGAAGTTTTCATTTGCAATAAAAGTGTAACTACTATGATTACTTAAAGAGATTAAAAGACTAAAACATAAAAACAAAAGTTTAGATAAAATAAATGATTTGATTTTTATAAAAGTTTTGAAGGACAAAACAGTCCCATTAAAAATTGGAGACAAAGAGGGGGTTAAGGGGGAAGATATCCCCTTTATCTATCATTATAGATTATAGATATTGTAAAATACCACTTTATAACTTTTAAAAATATTATCATTAATATGTAAAATGTTAAAAATCTTTAGTAACATAGACTTTATTTTATATTTGATAAAATGTCACAAATATATATTAGCAACATTTACTCATAATTTAGTAATATTTTTTCTAATATTACTAAAAATACATAAATAGGTATAGTAAATTTTAGGTACTTGATTTGTCTATTTTAGTTATGATGAAGGAATTTCGGTTGAGTATTTTGTTGCAACTAATTAATCAAATGAAAATCACATGCCCATTATTATTTATATAGTGTATTACTACTTTTTTATATTATCAAGGAGTATTATTTGTCAAATACAGAAATAATCTCTTTCAAAAGTTTAACAAACAAATACTAAATAGATGAATGTCTCTTCCCAACTTAAATTTTTTGTATTTACAAAAATCAGGATTAAGCGTGTGAATTTAGTGACACCAACCCAAATTGGTTAGTGTACTACTATATGATTTCTTGTCGGAAATCTAAACCGAAAATTAATGATTATATTAGGAGTGCTTCTTCTTAACAACATATACATTGGATTCTTTTCAGCAGAAAATTAACTTACCCATCATATTGATAACTTTATAATTCTCATTTCGTTGTCATCATCACGATGCTTATGCGGTTCAAAATAGTACTTATTTGAATTTGTCTATCGGGACAAGGCATATATATGTAGGATTGTAGGACGGATATTAGTATGATTATTTTTCATTTATAATAAATTTCTTTCTTTTTTTCTCTGATGTTTTATTTTATTTTAGATAATAATGCTTTGATTTTATGGTGATAAATAAGGTTAGTTGACAATAATACATAAATTTATATTGTTTTGAAGGAATATTTCTTATGACTGCATCCAAACATGAAGCTATTATATAAATAAATTTAGGTTAAGATAGATAAAATCACAACGAATATCAATATTTTTTTTTTATTTTAGGATTTGTTTGGATAAGTTTCTTGAAAAGCATTTTTGAGAGAGAAAAATAGGAAGGAAAAATAAAATAAACTTCTTTATTAGCTAAAATTAGTTTATGCATAAGTTTTGTAGAAGCTATCTCCTATTAACTTCTCTAAAATTTTATTTTTAATTTATGCATAAGTTAGTTTTAGCTTATGAAAAAAATTAATTTCAATTTCCTTCCTATTTTTTTTCTTCTTAAAAGTGTTTGTATAAAAAAATTATTTAAACAAACCTATAATTGATTTTAACCTCTACTTTTATATGACACTCATTAACCACTAATATGTTTGATAGAAGGTCAAATAAGTATCTCACGTGACACTCACGGCAGTGACAAATTTAGAACCTTGGATTAATAGATGCAATTTATTTTAAAATAAAAATTGATAATAATTATTATCATGAAAATGAATGAAATGTAAAGCAGATGGAAAACCTAATTAAATAATGCAAAGTACTTAGAGAGCCTAAAAGGAAACGAAAAAAATGGTGGATGAAAGTCAAAATTTAACAGCGGGGTAACAAATTGAAGTCTGTCGATTCAAATACACAAAAATAGCCAACAAATACAAAATTTCTAAATGTATATTTATAATTATTTTTGAAAGTGAAAAGGTGCAATTATACACCCTCTTTTCAACGCACATCCACCACTACTAATCAATGTTTATGGTACAATATCAATATATAATATTAAAATATATAATATTAAAATATATAATCTCAAATTAAATATTTAATATTAAAAATAATAATTTTAAATTTTAGAGTAAATTTTTTTTGCAACGTCTCCCAAAACTTGTGTTTGGATATGATCCCCGCCCCTCAAAAAGGACTTTGAGTCAGGAGGCCCATGAACCACGCTCTCATTTAAAAAACGAATACTTTTTATCAATTACTTTTAAAATTGAAACACCCCAAAAATTACTCTTAAAAGAATGAGGTTATTTTCTTGTGTTTGGACATGTAGACCATCCTTCATATGCTGGTGCTTGTTTATCTGGCCTTGAGTGCCACTTTTTTTTTTTTTTTTTTTCCATAATCACTATTTATTAACCATCTTAATTATATTGCTTAATACTAATTTATATACATTAGCCGGAGTTCAAATTTCGATTTAATAGTTTAAGTTCTTCGGGTAAAATTCTATTGCGAAGTCATATATTGCATGATATTTATTTATCCAAAAAATAATGTCCTGCTACATAATACATAATAATGTACATGAGAAGGAGCAATTTCCAACAACGTGCTAGTGTTACATACAATTCTATGGCCAGACATAATGTAATCGGAAATAAATCACCGTGAAGTATAAAGAATCTTGAAAGACGTAAACACACACACACGTGAAAGCTGGAACTCAAGTCAAATTTGGTTGCTACCTTTATCTTGACGCCAATATTAAAGTTGCAGGAAAAGAGCAATGTCTTCCTTCATATTCGGCTGGATGTGGAGCGAGATGAACCGCCCCGACTACTTGCATTTGAATGATCTCTCTTCAATAAGGCTTCAAGATTTTGGAAGCATCTCATTGGCCTAACCTGCACGTTACAAAACAGCAAGGACAAAAATTGTCAATGTTTCTCACTTTTGTTTCCCTAGAATACAATTCTTGAGCTGAAATTTTCCAAAAGATCATACAATTTTGCTCATCAACCCTATTATATTAGCCACATGTAATTCTACTCTTTCATAGAGATTAAGCATTCATTCCAGTCAACACAGTTTTGAACAAGCATATCTGATGCAGGAAAAGGGGCAATGTAAGAGAGATGATAACCTTCCAACGTCTTTTTTGACCAATTGCGTTGTAGATGGACTCTAGCCTTGTTATTATTTGCCTAAATGTTGGCCTCTTAGCTGGATTCTCATTCCAGCACTCTTCGATCAATCTATAAGGTTATATCATTAGAGAGATCAGCAAAATGTAAAACTTGTAACTAATCATTATCAAATGAAAAAAAGCAAAAGTTGGCAACGACAATGTGTTAAATCAGAAGTATAGTTTTGTAATTTCACACTAAGCAAGAGGGTGGACAAAATATGCCACAAAATAAACAAAATAGCACACACTAGTCATGTATGCTATAACCTAATAACCACATTCGCTTAACTAAAGTTGGCATGACTTGTGTTGTGCAGCTAAATAGCAAACACGTTTGACAAATCATTGCAGTTAACTTATAACGTATTTTTACCAGTTTATGAACTTGTTTGACCCTTGGCAAATGAATTCAATTCACTAGCTTATAGCATTTTTCCATGAGTTACTTAAAGTATCATTTGAAAGAAAGGTCTTGGGAAGATTTGAAGCGGTTGGTTTAGGGATTTTCCCACAAGAGCAGATCTAAATGGACATGTTGGTGAGGCAAGGCAGTTTATAGAAGCTTACGAAGATTTTGATTTTCGAGAGCTAAATGAAGGACAATCTTTTACTGATTTCTCTATTGAATATGATTTTAATTTTATGAACAGTTGTTTTAAGAAGTATGAGGAACAGAACATCATTTAGCTTACTAAGACATTTAATAAGATTTTGAGATCTAAGAAACAAGGGAGATATTCAATAGAGTACAAAGGGATAAAATTTATAAGGCACACTATGAAATTATGGGAAAAGGTGATTGAGTATAGATTAAGAGTCTGTTTAGATACACAATAGAAGCATTTTTTATATTTTCTCTACTGAAAATAAAAACTAATTTTTAGTAGAAAAACTCTCAAAAACGCTTCTAAGTTTGTATTAAAGCAGACTCTAAGCATAAAAATGTTGGACATAAAATATCACCTAAGAAACTTGGAAGACTTACTCTCGAATTCCATGGGAATAACGCTTGGCTGGAGCTCGGAAAGGTGGTCGCTCTTTTGCAGCATATACCTTAGGAACTTCATCTTCTTGCTTGGCAGAAAAAGGAGGGCAACCTTCAATCATCTAAAAGATAGCACATAAGAAACATCAATAACGAGTACTGCAAGTTAGGATCTTAACATTCATACAAAAGCAACAATTATTCCATAAAACCAATAAATATTGTTAGAAACATGATAGCAGAAAAGCATGTTACTATTATATATTTGGAATTATTGGGTTTTGATAGGAAAGAAAAGAAGTAAATCATCAATTAAAATTACATTGAAATTCTCCATTGTTGATTTTCAAGGAAAAACAATGTAGTTACCTCTTGTAGAATTAGTGCAAATGAAAATACATCCACTTTAGTGTCATATTCCTCTTGTTTAAAAACTTCAGGAGCCACATAGCGGCCTATCAACAAAAATAAAAAAAATTTCCCAGTTTCAGAAAATTAAACCATGAATCAGCGTGTTAAAGTAAAGCACATAAAAAATGTCACAATAATGACAATATTTTCTTATGCCCTATGAATAAAAAAAATACAGCATTTCAGAAATTTAGATATTTCAAGCGGGCATTAATGACAGATCTGAAGGAAAGAAGCACCCACAAGAAGTATCTTGGCAAGTAAGAGGTCTATCTTCTTTAACTGCCAGCAACTTGCTGACCCCAAAGTCTGCAACTTTTAGGTGTCCAGAATCATCCCGCAATATATTACTGTTAGCTTACTCATAAGCAACATTGATAAAAAGTGTAGATTGTATCAGACTATTAAACCAAACACATGGACTGCACATAAAAATGTTAGAGGATAAAAAACAATAATTGAACAAAAAACTTACGAAGGCTCAAGATCGCGGTGAATAATTGGTGATGGCTTATTTTCGTGTAAATAACCCACTCCCCTGCATAATTTCAAAAGACAAACATAAAAGGAGCAGAGACATCATTATCCATTAATCAGAACCCAATAAATGTCTCATCTAAACATAATTTACATTAAATGAATCTTGAGAAAGTATGTCTTCAACAGGTCAAAGAAATTTCTCCAGCAAGAATGAATCCATGCAATGTTAAAGTCATGAAACTCCTTAAACAAAATTCCATGCATGACATCCAACGACTGAAAACTCAGATAGGAAAACTGTTGAAGAGTTAAGTACGCGTAAGATATCTTTTAAAATTATATTGAATACCTTATCATCAAATTAATAACTTATTTTGTCTGTGTGGGTCATATTTAACAACCACTTCCCAGTTCCAGGACCAAACCTAAGTTAAACCCACATTCAATCAAGAATGCACCCACCTCAATATTAACACTGGAACTTTCCTTCATCTAATTATGATACCTTATCCTGTTCTATGATCTTCAAATGCCAATAGAAAAATGTCACTCCTTCACATGATACATAAATAGGCAAGATCATGACAGAAGAATCAAGGGTAATCATTACACAACAATCATGCTACATGCAACCAAGTGGGGGTGTCTCGCTGTGCCATAAAAGATTGGAGAAGTTCTCCGCAACTGCCAATCTTCCTCTTTTATCAAGGCTTTGAGAGCAGCTATGTAAAGTGTGGCAAATAAAAGTGAACATGGTGTTCTAAAATTTTAAATGGGTGATTAATAGAAAAATACGTAACTAACAACCCCTCATCCACTATAATGCATATAAAAAGAAAAATTTATTGGCTCACTTATATTCCAACCCTGTTCTGTTTCTTTATAATTCGAACATTCATGCTACGAGTATATCTCATAATTCAAAATTAGATACTTCTACCAAATGTCAGTTTTCATGCAAACATATAAGAGAGTGAAATCGGGAAATAACTTTTGGGAGTATAAAATATTGATAAAAATTGTAATATGGAAGTGTACTACCCACGAGTGCCGAGGCCCAGCTCGGCCCAAATCGCACTAACGACAGTCCTAAGCACGAGCCCACAGTGCTCGACGCACTTAATGGGCCACAGTCAATCTTGGGCTGAAGTCAACCTCGCTATCACCCAAAGGGAAAAACCCTAAAATGACCAAGGTACATCTGCTATATACATGAGACATCTACACTATCAAGGACTAACTTTAGCATCAGAGTCTTTTTTGCAAGTACCATTCCCATCTCGGCACGACCGACGTACCAAGCAGAAGAGGTTCACCAATCTCATTGGAGAGGTCGTCCCTAGACCGATCTCAAGTGAGAACATGGTGTTCTAAAATTTTAAATGGGTGATTAATAGAAAAATACGTAACTAACAACCCCTCATCCACTATAATGCATATAAAAAGAAAAATTTATTGGCTCACTTATATTCCAACCCTGTTCTGTTTCTTTATAATTCTAACATTCATGCTATGAGTATATCTCATAATTCAAAATTAGATAATTCCACTAAATGTCAGTTTTCAAGCAAACATATAAGAGAGTGAAATCGGGAGATAACTTTTGGGAGTATAAAATATTGATAAAAATTGTAATATGGAAGTATCCTAAAGTTTTTGTGCTCTTTTCTCTACATATGGATGGCAAAATAGATCTAAACCCTACAGACATGGATAAATATCCATTTATATGGGGATGGGTATGGACAGGTATAGACTCGCAAAATTTAGTGGGAACAAGTGCAGGTACGAATATTATGGTACCCAACCCACTCGGCCCCATATATATATATATATATGTTACCTAGATTCCGTTTTTATCGTATCTTGATGCATATAATTACTTAATAATAATTTATTTATTTGTTTATTTAAATTATATTATGATATTATAACTAAAACTCTATCTAGTCTTTTTTTTTCTTCTTGCAATCTTGCGTCTTCGTATTTGTTTATTGAAATTTATAATATATAATTTAATCTAACTAATTTTTGTATAATTTTTTTCACAAGTCTTGGAGAATATTATTAACACATAATCATGATGTTGGAAGTTATCACAATTTTTATTATATTGATTTTTTTTTAAGTTTATTTACAAGAATTAAATGTTTTGTAATCTTTATTTATAAGAATTGTCATCTTAGATTTTTGTAATATTAAAGACGTGACAAATTAATATTATATTTATGTGTGTAAAATGTTATCTTTTTATTGATTTATTTACTTTATATATAAGTAAAATGCAGATTGCAAGTATAGGTACATAGGTACCCAATGGATATGAGAATAGGGATTAAAATTGCTACTCGGGTGGGTATGGGATTGAATACGGGTATTGTTTTTAAATGCAGATATGAGGACAGGTATTATAAAACCCTACTTAAACCCTACCCATTGTCATCCCTGTCTGTACATAACTAATAACAACAACTTACAAGTACCAATCAAAATAAAATTGCCAAAAATTCAAAATAACCCCCTTGCTAGACGGAGGGAGAAAGCTGATTCTGAGACTCAATGTTGCAAACAGAAGAAACGAAATAAAATCAAGATATGAATGTCAAATACCTAGCAATATCAAGTGCAAATCTCACAGCTGTTGATGGTTTCAAAGCTCCTTTTCTTTGCATGAAATCACGGAGATCTCCCTGCACAACATGGGGATAAGATCAAGAAAGAAACATTTTCTATCACATTACTGTTAAACTTCAAACAAACATCCCAACAAAGCCCAATAAAGCATGCTCCATGCAATTGTAAAACAAAAAACCTTGGGAAGATATTCTGTCACAATCATCATTGGACTACTCTGGGTCACAGCACCCAGAAATTGGACGACATTTGGATGCCGGATCTTCTGGAACAGAGCAAGCTCATCTCTGAAAGCCTTCCTGTAAAAAGTCAAGTATATTAATTATCATCAAAGCATATAACAAAATGTAACAATCTATGCACAAGGTTTACGATACGAGCAACTCACACTTTCTCCTCATCACTAAGTACATCCTCCCCAAGCTTTTTTACTGCAACCTCTGTTCCACGCCACAATGCACTACAGAAAGTCCCCTGCAAATCAAGGCAAGATAGTAAGATTCAAGAATCATTTTGAAGTGATGAAATTGCGGATGATTCATGAACTTAAGTAATTATGAACAAACAAACATATAACATTTAACTGAATCTGCTAACTAAGTCAATACTAGACTCTAGATACTCGATAGTAGCCAAATTCCTTATGAAACAGAAATTAGCTAATTTCACAACAATTGTGTTCCCAAGACATGGCAACAGACAAATTTATCATAAAAATTTGTTACTTTGCAGCACAACCACAGCTTATAGCTGTTAATAAAACATACTAAAATCATTAATTAGATTTAGAACTTATAATAAATGAAAAGGGGGAAAAGGAGAAATCAAAATAATTTAGAAGTTTGTGTTAAAAAATCTAATAGTGGACAATAAAAGAGGTATAGTTAAAGAAAATCTTATTAAATCCTCAAGTTTTATGAAATAAAATAACCTGAAGACAGAACAAATTGGTTGTTATAATAATAACGATAATAATAATTATTATTATTATTATAACAATAATAATAATAAATCATTACAAACTTTTTACCTTCGATATCTCCACACTATTAGTAAAATCAAGCTCTTTAGGATTGATTTCATACTCTGGGACTTCACGTGCATGATTAACATGCATAGGGGCCATCTGAAACAGTATAATCCCAACATAGATTGGCAACCATTAGCAGAATTCAAAAGCTAAAACTGATATGAAAAGACAAATAAATACAACTAGATAAGTTACAATCTTAAATTCACACATACCAGAGGCTTTGCTCCATGCTTCTCCAATAGTTTGATCACGTCATTTTTTTTATAAAAAATAGCATCAGCAAGTGGCTGTTGAGGAGATACAAGATTAATAATCAGTCTAGATATTAATATCTAATAGTAGTATTTTATTTTCAAAGGTAGCCCGTACAGAAGACCATGGAACAGTCACTATGGAATACAAAGAAGAGGAAAATGAGGAGTTTGAAGACAAGACTACAGAAAGATTTAAGCAGAAACTGCTTATCACTTCATTAGGAATTAAACTAAGGATAAGGACAATTACAATTAATAGTCCAACACTTCAAGCAAAAAGAAACCTAGTACAATTTACACCACAAGATCAATCACATTTTCAATGTTTTACTTCACTTATATTCTCTTGACATTTACTCACGTCATACAGTTTTTATTAACTAGGCAAGCGCGAAGACAACATCCAATAGAAGTATTGGCTTTCGAAATTCAGATATGAAAACACCCTGCCAAATAAACGTTAGTGTAACCAAATGTAAGATCAAGGTCCTTTTGATAAGAGGAGAAGCTAAATTAAGGAATATTTGGATAATATTATAAAAAAAAATTTATAGGAGAGAAAAAAAATAGGAAGATAAAATGAAATAAATTTTTCCAAAAAGCTATAACTAGCTTATGCATAAACTAATTTCTAGAAGTTTTATTCTATTTGCTTCACCCAAATCTTATTTTTAACTTATATATAAAACTGATTTTAACTTATGGTGAAGTTTATTTCAATTTTACTTCCTTTTTTTTTCTTCCTTGGAAGTGATTATGGAGAAGTTTACTCAAGCATACCCTTAAACTTGTTCCAAGAAAAGAAACTCAAGCCTAGACTATTAGTCAACCGCCCCGTGCAAAGGGCAACACAATTATGTCCACAAAATGTCTCTAACTTAATCTACAACACATCCTATCCTTTATTCGAGCATTACAATTCACAGAATAAATCCACACAAAAGGATCAAGCATTTGACTAGTCAAATAATAGTAAATCAAGATACAACGACCCTGAAGGCTGAAGCCAAACCTTAGACCTTCCCTAAACAAAATCTATGGCAATGTTATTGGCTTTTGTCACACACGAAACCGGAATTAACAACACAACCAAACCATGCCAATAGCCAAACATCAAATCACAAATTCACAATCACTTACGGTACTAAACCAAATCAAAAATTAAAAAAAGTGTAGTTATTACCGTGCTTCCCCATCGATCCTTGGCGTCAACTTCGGCACCTTTCTGGAGCAAAAACTCAACGACCTCAGTGAATCCCTCACACGCGGCAACATGAAGAGCAGTGCGATAATCAATATCCCTGAAATTGACATTAACACCAGACTCCAACACCTCGCGAATACCATCCACATCGCCTTCGAACGCCGAATACATCAACCTCACGCTCTGGTCAACGGCGTCTCCCTCATTCTGATGCTCCGCTTCCTCGTTGCGGCGTTCCGGTGCCAGCGACGACTGCTTCCCCAGCGTAAACCTCGCGGGGTTTTTCGACTCCATGCCGAGATCCAGAGAGAGAAAGATGCGTGATTTCAAAGACCGATTGGGCAGCGGAAAATTCAACTCGAGAGGAAGAAAATAATTGGGTGAACGTGAAGTAGAAGCTTGTGTTGCTTTGGTTTGAAAGTTTTTCCTAGTCCGACCAAGCAAGCCACTTGTGATCTACCATGTTTAGCTTTTGTTTAAGCGCAGTCCAACGTGGAAATGTTTGAATTTCGTTGGATGCGGTTTGTCAGACGCGTTCGGCTCAGCGCGTGACGCGTTTGAGGTAATGCCAGCGCAGGCTGACACAACTACAAGCCGCAACGCGCCAACGCCGCGCTCGGTAAGAATATCTTACTAACGTGGGCCTCGAGGCTGCAGTTGCATTTCCCATTTGCCGACGTTGTTGTCTGTAGATTTAAGAAGATCTCCACCGTTGATTTTGTGAAAACGTGAAGTGGAATGGACGGTCTTTGATATATATATTCTTTACACCGCCATTTGCGTTGAAAATGATATTACCAAAAGAGAAAAGAAGGGAGTTGATTTGATTGGATCATTTCTTTTCATGGATAATTTTTTCTGGATAACGACTGGTTATTATATTATATCGACTTAGCAACCTATTATAAGCATTTTATTGAATGATTAATATATATTTAATTAAAAATCAGTGTATTTTAAACATGAATTCAAAGATTTATACGAGAAATAGAATCTAATCAATTAGTACTGGATGTTGGTTTAATCAATGAGTTTCAATTTAAATCTTTAATATAAAATTGCATTAAATATTTAAAAAGAATTTTTTCGCACATAATAGTCCCATATATATTATGTAATTGTATTCAGTATTTATAGTTGTATAATGTATCATGAAGTAATAAGATAAGATAAATTTTTCTCTCTCTTCGTTTTATATACACCATGTTATATATTAAATTATGTAAAATAATAATAATATAAATATAAAATAAATAAAATATATAATATTACATATTTTATGATTAATGTTTTTATTCAGACTATTTCAGTATTACTATTATTATTATTATTATTATTATTATTATTATTATTATTATTATTATTTTTTAAATATTAACATGAGAAGTAAGAGGTGTTAAAAATTAAGGAGGTCCACAATGTCAATACTACAAAGGTATCCCAGATTTTCTCATTGGGTTTGCTTGAATTTCCCCTTGTCAATGCAATGTCGGCCCCTTTATCACATGTCTCACACGATATTTTTGTTGCTATCCATCTAGTTGCTGATACCCATTTTTCCCACACCAATAATCCACATGTATTTCCATAAACATTTGATAATTTTGATTATTCTTTCACTCAATGTCCTTCGTTGATTCATGACTACATCAACGTAATTTACCATTCTTCATAACCTTGAGGACAAAGCTCTCATTCAACACCATGACAATGATAGAATGTTTGGTTCTATTTTGTAGGGTTATCATTCAATTAGATTAATAATTATTTGTTATTTTAGGTAACATTATTGTGTAATTGGAGATATAAAAAAATTATTTTAGCATTGTTTCCATTTTTTGTTGTTCTTTACTATGTAGAATTAGTATAGATAATGTATCTTCTTTTGAGGAACCTAACACTTTACCAACAATATGTATATTGTCCTATGTGAAGTAACTTTAGATAATTCAAAAAGAGCAACAAAAAAATTGTACGCCAAATCCTTTTCAACTCCAATGAATTCAATTGAGGTAAAACATTTCCAACCTGATGTGTGACAAAAGGCCCCAATTTTTTTTCTAAACAAAAGCACATTTTTATTATAATAAGAGTAAATTACCTATACACTGCCAGTGTAAAGTTTTTTTACACTGGCAACCAATTATATGTTAGAAAAGAATGGCACAATCCAAGAGGGGGGTGAATTGGATTCTATGACACTTTAAAATTTTTTAGAGTATTTAGGATCTTTATTTCAATTAAACTTTTCTAAAAATGAATTTTCAATGAAGTTTCTTAAAGACTTGTTACAGAAGAATGAAACCTATATGTTTTCTTGATTACCCAATAATGAGGTTCAAAGTTAACACCAATATGTAATGCTTTAATTCAGTTTAAACCAACATTAATCATGCACACATGTTAATCAAGAACAATCTTCTTTAATGGACAATCAAGGTATTACACAAAGTAAAAGATAAGGGTAAGAGAAGATTGCACAAGTCTTTTATCCTGGTTCAGCCACTCCACATGTGACCTACATCCAGTCCTCAATCACAACCTGATCAAGATTTGTTCCACTATCTTAATGAAGAAGGTTTACAAGCGTACCACACATGCATATACTCCTACATTCAAGATAACCACTTTCTTGACCTCAAGAAAGGTGAAGTCTTTGTGACAATCTTGGAGAGTTTTCTTTGTGAATCCAAGAAGAAAAACGTTTGTGAAAAACTTTGAAAGGATCATCATCATCATCACATTCTTGAAAGGGAAGAGATTAAGATTTGCTTCTGAATTCCAGGTGAATTCGTTCCTTAATTCTTTGTGAATACTTGTAAATCTTGAGAGGGTTTCTCAAGTGGTAAGGAATTCTTGTAGTG